TTATTAATTGCTTATAAGTTAGTTGTTTTTTATCTTCAGTGAATATTAGCTAATAAACTACTGCTGAATTACAAAATGACATGAAAAGATATGTTAAGGTAATCGTAAATGAAAAACATGATTCAAAATGAAAAATATAAGCTACAGTAATAACTAACCTTTAAACTAACTTATATCATTCCAAATAGTATAATCCAAGCAAATATATTCAGATAAGATCTTACCCCATCCATCCCATCACAGAATCATGTTATAATTTGTCTTTTTTCCCCACACGATTTCTGTTTGATCTGGGAAAATCAATTTTCTAATAATTTAATTAAGCTAACAAATAGCTTTACAGAATATATGCATGATATTTCCATTTTCCAGTAATTTCTTATTCGAAATTATTACACTATCAATTAAATTTAACGACATTTATTTATATAATATTATTGTGCAGTTGATGCATGGAGATATATGGGTATACCCAAACCCGGTAGGTTTCGATCAACTGATGGCGGTGATTCTGGGATTCCAACACCGGCCCTCCGTCGCCGGCGGCGGCGAATATTTGTCTCCTTCCTCCAACCAGCACCAAAATCACCCAAACCCTCTTCTCTTACGGGGACTTAACGTTCTGTTAGCCGACTACGACGACGTTAACAGAGCCGTAACCCGCCGTCTTCTCGAGAAGCTGGGATGCGTCGTCTCCGCCGTTTCCTCCGGTTACGAATCGTTGGGCGCGCTGGGCCCCACAGTGTCCACGTTCCAAGTCGTGCTTTTGGATCTTCACCTACCCGATTTGGACGGGTTCGAAGTGGCGATGAGGATCCGGAAGTACCGGAGCCGTCACCTGCCGTTAATCATCGCGCTGTCCTCGAGCGATGACGTGGACATCAGTGGACGGTGTTTCCAGGCTGGCATGAACGGCGTTATCTGTAAACCGGTGCTTTTGCAGGAAATTGCTGACCAACTCACTAAAGTTTTGTTAAAAGCGAGGACCCGAATCAGGGAGTGAAATGACTTTTCCACTTAATTAATCTTGTTACAGAAAATATTACGGACTATATTTAGTTTTATGCCCTTTATCCAAAACTTTTTCCATGTTTAGGCCCAAATAGACAACTAACTTATAAGCGAATATACCTTTAAAATAGTGCAACTCTAATTTCTTCTCTAGCTTAATCAATTCTATGCTACATTTAAATCTAATCTACAGTTAAAATGTGCCACATTGATAAATTAAAATCTGTTGAATCGGCTAATTCTGCCTGATCGTACTATATTTATGTATAATATGGCAGTACGACTTCAAAATCATTTTGGGGTAAAATTATATTGCCTTGTTTTTTACTTGTTTATTAGTTTCAACTGATTAACTTTACACTACCCTCATATCTTATAATTATATTTCTTAAATAATGTACTACGTATTAGGAAGGAAATGAGAGTTTCAATTGAGCAAAAGGGGGAAGAATTAGTCATGGACCTGGGCCGGTTCCGGGCCCGGCCGGGCTTTGTTTGGGGAAGGAATAGCCGTAACCAGCCTGGGTAGGCAGCGGTTCCGGGCCGGTTCATGTTATTTTTTTTAATTTCTTTGGCTTTTCTAATTGACCCCCGACCCCCCCCCCACCCCAAATCCCCCCCCCCCCCCCAAACACTCAGGCCAACCCACGAGAAACCAAAAAAATTGAAAAAACTAAAAAAAAAAAAATAGGCCGGGGCGCCCGGTCGGTTCCGGGCCGGTTCCACTTTTAGGAGGCCCGAGCCCGGCCCGATTAATTCCGGGTTCGGGTGGCCTGGACCGGTCCTATAACCGGGTATCGGCCGGGCCCAAACAGTACCGGTTCCGGGCCGGGCGGCCTGACCCGAGTCCATGACTAGAAAGAATGGATACTTGTTGGGCTGAGAGTCAAAAGAGATACTTATTACTATGTATAATCAAGTGTTATAATTTAAATAGCTTGTTAGTGGTCATCAAAGAGTAACGATCCTGAAGTAATTTCACAATTTATTTCTTTTGTACGTAGTATAATTTATCAACAGGCTTATGGTAACACTAAAATTTAGCAATGTTTTAGCAATTTTTTACACTCTCATCTTGGTTATATTTTAAATTAAAATAAGAGCTCCCATGACTCCCATGAGTAGCTCAATTGGTCCTTGAGGTGAAAATTTAGTTCAAAAACTCGGTATCAGATTATTTCAATGGCAGTGTGAAGTTATCATTAAACTTCTTGCATAAGTGAGTGACCAAGATTTAATCACAAATACTCTAATACAATCCAATAAAAACAAGACATTTGAAAGAAAATGAAAATGATATTCTCAATCCAAAAGGTGGAATCGCTCATCCAAGATGCCCCATCCCCGCCCGGCAAAATGGTGGAAAAGTAAGTCACAGTATGATTTCAAACGATTTCTGAGTGAGGTGGTTCAAAGTCTGGTGCGCACAAGGAGCCATCAGGCCCACCACATTGGATGAAACTCTCATATTGTCGCTGTCAGGAATTCAACCTGAAACCTTAATCCAACAACCTCACTCAGCCGCCGTCGAGCTACCTGAAAATGATAGATATAAAGTGATTTGAATATGCAATAAGGTGAACAACCAAAGATGTTTATGAGATAGTGGCACGATATGGCCTTTTTTAACGAGAGGAGAAATGATATACGGAGTATAAATAAGGATTATACTCCATATACGTACCTTTCTAGTTCATCAGATTCGCGATCACGGGCTCAAGGGTTCGAACTCTTTGTTGTGTCGTTGCCGCTTATCCGATCATAGAGAGAAAAGAGAAGGGTTGAGTGATACTTAAATCTAATTGGTTAGGTCGGTTTTGGATTTATTCGGTCGAGATTGAATTAGTCCGATCAAAACTAGTTCGATTTAAATCAAGTCTAAACTCGATCGTTTGGATTGTATGTCTATTTTGGCACAATAATCATTAAACAAATTGAAAAGGTAAAAGTTGTGATTGAAATTTGAGTATAATAATGTGAAATGTTATGAATTATTTATCTATTTAAAGAAAATTGTGACTCTTATTTGAGACAATTCAAAAAAATGTAAGACTGACCAAATAAAACGGGAAGAAAACTATTTATGCCCATTCAACTATTATTGTCTTGTATTCTTTCTAAGGAGTTCGATTACGTCTGAAAGTGAAATTAGTTCAAGTGAAATTTTTAATAAAGTTTAATTTTTATTGGACTTGGTTAATAGTTAAACTTCGGTTATAGCTAGTCACGCAAATGCGGTCAAGTTGGTAAATTATTAATGGATAAGTTATGAGTAAAATCTGTTACAACACCTTCTCGACATTTTGATACATGATTTAACTAATTTTGTCAACATATGTGATGTTAATTTGCGAGTAATTTTACTCAATCCCAAAAATTCTCTCAATGCACACTCTAAATTGGAGGTAGTAAATCACACTGACTCATCTAGTTTTAATGGTGGTAGACTTTGTACTCGTGAACAACGAAGCTACCAGACTTGCATTCAGGAGTTGTGATCATCATATGGCCGTTACAAGCAGGGGCGTACCTAGGGAAGCCAACCTAGGTCTTGCTCCACCCCAAATTTTAAAAAATAACTCTATTTTTAGTTTTAAAAAAGTCCATGTAAAAAGTTTTCCAAAACAGTTCTTTGTATCGACCTAGTCCGGCCTAGTGACTTGACTAATCAAGTTTCGATCTTTGATCATTCGTCCAAACTTCTCACCACTTTTACCAGTTAAACTATCGATGCGGGTTGCATGAGCTACATGAGAGAAATGATTTAAGTATATGGTTCCCCAGAGGTGTAGATTTATGGGTCTTGTGCAAATATTAATGCAATGAATAAGCACCAAGTATCAATACACCCCTCAAAGGGGAAAGTTAATGTTACAAGCATGCTTCGTAAAAATTAAACACAATCAATGGCAAATGCTTTGGTGAAAAATATTTGCAATCTTGTTGGTGGAGATGTATCATGGAGTGGTGTCTCCACTAACAATGCATTATCGCACAAAATATCACTCCTATCTTGATATGTTTAGTACGCTCAAGAAAATCCTGATTAAGAGCAATGTGTCGTATCTTTAGATTATCACAAAGGAGCGAAGTGGGGTTATGTTGCGGAAGCATGAGATCACGAAGTAGTAAGCAAAACCAAAAAAATCACTAGTGGTGACAACCATATCACTATAACCAATTTGAGAGGAAGATTGAGAAATATCATGTTGTTTCATGGTACACCAAGAAATGGGTGATGTATCTAGTGTGTTGATGTAGCATATGCTAGAGCGATGACCAAAAGACATCATGCCTAGTCAACACTACAATATTCGAAAACGAAGAAATTCAATATAGGGTTTTTGTTTCGTGTGTCGAAGAACACACTGAGCGGCTTCAAGATGAGATTGGCGGGATGACTCGGAAATTGACCGAGTTGGGACTTGGGGAACAACACAAAAGACCATATTGGGGAAACGTCCCTTCGTATGGAAAGTGTTAGTATTCGCATTCTTATTACATTACTCGTCTCGCTAAAATTGTTTCATTTTTTTTTATTCACCCCACTAAAATTGTGTCATATTAAATTTGATTAAGTTTATATCTTTAAATAATTCTTACTTTTTCTTATTTTATTAATGCAATGTTAATCACATAAATTTACTTTTACTCATAAACACATCACTTGAAATAGCCATATCGTAGTACTTTTTTTGACAGATAGCCATATACTTAATTTAATGTTCCAATGTATATCTCCTAGTGTTTGGGACTAATGTACTTGTTTAACCTCCGTCCCAAATTGTTTTGCAAAGTCAACATTTTTTGTTAATCAATGTTAAAGTTAAATTCTTTTTAATGATAATTAATTCAATTTTAACAATTAAAATCTATATTTTTAGAAACTACATTAAAATCTTTGTAACATTAAAAAATTCAAATAAATCAAATGAATATTTGATTCAAAAAAATCAACTTTGCAATTCGACTTTGCAACTTAACTGGCATGGGTACAACCGACGACCGTAGTGCTGTAATCTCATCTCATTGGATAATACGGAGTAATAATCACTGGAGGAAAAAGGAAGACGCAGCACCAAAGAGGAAACATTTACGCCATGTGCACTTTAGAGAAACGGGGCGATATTTTCTATCTTACGCTGACCGGCGCCGACGAGCACCGGCTGAACCCGTCTCTAATCTCCTCCATCAGCACGGCGCTAGCCGAAATCAAGTTCCAAGCCGATAAGGGTTCCGTTCTGGTCACAAAAGCAGAGGGCAATTTCTTCTCAAATGGCTTTGACTTAAAATACGCCCAGGCTGCAGGCTCGCCGGCAGCCGCAATGGATCGGCTACAACACATGGTGGACTTGTTCAAGCCAATCGCAGCGGATCTGATCTCGCTCCCCATGCCAACCATCGCCGCCGTCACGGGACACGCCGCCGCCGCAGGACTGATGCTGGCCATCTGCCACGACTACGTTATGATGAGATCTGACAAAGGCGTGATGTACATGAGCGAGCTGGACATCGGACTCCCCTTGCCGGAGTACTTCACGGCGATTATCAGGTCGAAGGTGGGGTCGCACGCGGCCAGGAGAGCGTTGGTATTGAAAGCGTCGAAGCTGAGGGCGGCGGAGGCGCTAAAACTGGGGCTGATCGACTCGGCGCACGCCGACCCGGAGGAGACGGTGAAGGAGGCGGTGCGCACAGCGGAGTCGCTGGCGAAGAGGCGGTGGGACGGTAAGATCTATGCTGAGCTGCGGAGAGCGTTGCTTCCAGAGGCTTGCGGTGTGTTTGGGTTACCTATAACAGCTGCCTTGCCTTCACGACTTTGAATGCCTTTGCATAAAAAGATGCAAACATCAAATACATCACACCAAACACTGGTACCCTCCTTTTTCCTACTTCCACTCTCTTCGATCTTCATAGTTCATATACATTTATAAAGCATTCACGAAAATTGTATGCATTTCTTCATTTTTTTCCCAAAATTTGATAGCTGAATTGGTTGATTCAATGTGTTTTGTGGTTATTTTGGTTAAAATGATTGACTACACATAACCTAACAATAGAAGATAGATTTTTCGACTGAAAGTCTGAAACCCGATCAGCAAGATGTTGGGTCTTGTTGCATCTTTTGATCAAATCGGTCCTACCAATCAGGCTAGTAAATTAGATATTCCATATCTATGATTTACTACCTTCTTTACCTAAAAGTTTTTCTTTTTGCGTTGCTTTTTCATGATTTTGCTGGATTTTGACTATACTATACTCCGTATTTTTTTTCCATAAGTTATTGTTAATCCCAAAATGTTAATAAAACTTGAGGTCATAATTGATCTAGAAAATTGGATTGGACTAGATGGAGGAATTGTTATACTCAGGTTTAATGGTCGAATGTATTTGGTTGACTTGCATCATTATCTCATCATTTTCACTTCTTTCCTTAAAACTTTGTAGATCTTTAAATCATTTTTTATTAGTATAGTTTTGTGAAAGTTATACAAGTATATTTTATACTTTTATGAAAGTATTTTTAACAAGAACATGTTCGTATCATTTGCATACCATAAAAAATTCCTATTAAAACACACAATTGGGTCAAAGTTTAACTTGATTGACCAAAATATCAAAAATTGACAAAGTTTTAACTTAAGGGACAGTGTAATATTCTAGTTGGTCTACTAGACAAAGTAAGGTCCCTTGAAGGCATGTTAAATTTGAAATTTGTTTAAAAAACGTAAATATATTGAGAAACTAGAGAAATATCAATTTGGAAAAACTTAAAATTCTTATCTTTGAACTTGTTCAATCGGAGTAGTACTTGACTTTATCTTTATTTATTTTTTTGATAAAAAATGGTAGACAGATCTAATAAGACAAAGAAATGAGTTATTAAAAGGACTACAACGGTAGCACATTCAAGTTTTTGCATTGACATGTCCGCACTATAGTTTTCATGTTGCATATATAATGGACAATGATGACATATTGTGTGTTTATCTTATAGGATGATAATATGATTCTAAGATGACGATACTCTAGTAGAGGTAGCGAGATATATGTGAGATGGCGGTGGCGAGGGTTGGCGCAATGGTGGATGGCTGGAGTTGATGGAAGTTTCGGTGTGTTATTTATTTTGTAATCTTGTACGGAAGTAGTTAATCATGATTATTCACTGTATTTGAGCTATACAAAACACAGAGGTGGTTGCAGATTTATTTAGAGGAAAAGTATAGTGAATATCATGATAAGTGTTGTAGGTTCTCTTATTTTTATTTTTAAAAGATGAGAGAATCCCTACCCTTCAACACTAAAGTTACTCTTTATTTCCTTAATACTTCTTCTATTTTGATGAACTTTGTCTATTTAACTATTGAGATCGAGAAACATTTCTTCTGTCAAGTGTCAACACAATTACCTTTTGTTAATGAAGGTTGAGATCAAATTTTCATCATAGTTGAATTCAATTTTTACTTTTGAGTGGATGCTTTCATATAGTTTATAAATATGTACATTTTAAACATTACCTAATCAACATAGATATTATATCTATGTTGATTATGAAGAGGTCTATCTTACGTGTGTGTATATAAATACTCACTCAAGTATATATTGAATGACCAAGATTTTGGTCCTATAGTTCACTACAAGTATCATCCTCATCCAAGACACAACACCTCACTCTAGGAGGAAGCATTTGGTATCTCTCACACCATGTGCACTTTAGAGAAAAAGGGTGATATTTTCTATCTTACGCTCACTGGCGATGATGAGCACAGGCTGAATCCCACCCTAATCTCATCCATCGGCACAGCGCTATCCAAAATCAAGTCCCAAGCGGAAAGGGGTTCGGTACTAATCACCAAGGCAGAGGGAAAATACTTTTGCAATGGCTTCGACTTGAAATATGCCGAGGCCGCTTGCACGCCAGAAGCCATAATGTATCGAATAATGGACATGGTAGAGATTTTCAAGCCAGTTGTGGCTGAGCTGATCTCGCTCCCCATGCCAACCATCGCTGCCATCACCGGACATGCTGCCGCCGCTGGGCTGCTTCTGGCCATTTGCCATGACTACGTTGCCATGAGATCTGACAGAGGCATATTGTACATGAGTGAGTTGGACATCGGGATACCCTTGCCAGAATACTTCACAGCGGTCATCAGATCGAAGGTAGGGTAGCACTCTGCCAGGCGAACGGTAGTGCTGAGAGCATCCAAGCTGAGGGCCGAGGAGGCGCTTGGGTTGGGGCTGATTGACTCGGTGCATGCTAATGCCGAGGAGACCATGAAGGCCGCAGTTCTTTTGGCGGAGTCGCTGTCGAAGAGGAAGTGGAATGGCATGTTATATGCTGAGACGAGGAAAGCGTTGCTTTCTGAGGTTTGCAGTGCCTTGGGGTTAACTCATAATGATACACCTGGGGTGCCATCACGACTTTGAATATATTTGCTTCAAAATGATATAATGTCAGATGCTTCACCCCACTGTGGTGTCACTGTGTAAGAACTTTAAGAAATATAGTTTGATAATGATATTAATGATAATAACAATTTACTAAAGAAATATAGTTTGATAATGATATTAATGAATAATAATGACGATAATAGCATTGGAAATAAATGGTACCCAACAAAATTTACTAAATTTAAGGCCTTTCTTATAGATTTTGGTATGGTCATCATAAAAACTTTTGTGAAATTCTTTCACCTCTAGAACTATAATTATAGTATACGGGGGGGATAAGGGGATTCAAGTCATTCAACTTAGAAGTGTTCTATGGGGTCAAGTCCGGTCAACACACCATATTTTCATATTAGTTTCATCCCAAAAATAATGTTTCACTTTTTTATTTCGATGTCCCAAAATAAATTTGAAAAATCTAATTCTCATAAAAGAAGTATTTCAATAGTATATTTCACAATTAAAAATTGAGAACAAAATTTTATATTATATCGATATGTGTGTAAGTTAAATCCCAAAGTTATTTTGGGGTCAGGTATACCTGACCGGAGTCCCGTCCGGCCTCCTCCATTTGGGGGCCTTCCCGGTGGTATTTTTTGCTCAAATTTTTTTTGTAGGTTCTTCATCAAGTCTAGTTCATCCATACCAAATTTCAGCCAAAAATTCAATCGGGAAGGTCGTCAAATGATTTTTGCAAGTTAACTGGTCCGGAAAATACATATTCCGGACCAGTTAACTTGCAAAAATCATTTGACGACCTTCCCTATAAAATTTTTGGCTGAAATTTGGTATGGATGAACTAGACTTGATGAGGAACCTACACAAAAAATTTGAGCAAAAAATACCACCGGGAAGACCTCCAAATGGAGGAGGTCGGACGGGGGGAGTGGTCCGGCCTGGCCGGACTTGAATAGTTGTGTGTGTGTGTGTGTCTATATATATTAGTTTTGAGCTTTTAGCTTTAAACTACTTTTTAAGTAGAAGTTGGTATTTACAAACACCTTTTTTTTTTACTCTTTTTAAGTTAAAAACTAAGTACTTTTTTTAGTCCATGCAAACACTCCTTATACTCGTATTAGGTGTAGACTCATCGTTCGTAAACATTTATACATGTGTGCATGGATTCAATTTTAGTGCATATAAATCTTTTACATGTCCATGAAAAAATTAGTTTACTAACCAAAACAATTCTATATTTTTTAATTAAGTTAATGCAATTTTAGTAAATTTAAAATACTTTAAATTAGTTTGCAATAATATATATTCACTATAATGATTTTTATGGAGAAAGCAGTTCTTTAGATCCACATGACCCACGTGGCCACGTATGACTCTTCTAAACTCATACTACATCGTCTCATTCAAAGGTTCTTTCTCATTGCAAAATGACACAATTATGTATATAATAATTAAATATGCTAATACTGGTATAATTTGAGAAATATTTTGATGGATATATAACCTAATGAGTTATTGATGACTACTGTGATGTTAAAAATGTATTATTTTTAATACTCAATAATTAAATTGTTATTTGAAATTGTGAATTGTTTCCTAAATAGAAAATGGAAACCTCTAAATAGTTAATGGAAACATTTAAATGAGACGTCCAAAAAGAAAGTAGGAACTAGAACAGAGGGAATATAAGCTATCATAACATCACAATTCACAACTAATTCTCAAAGAGGTGTTTGATTTCATTTACAATTTAACAGATTTATTTATTTATTTATTTATTTGCTTTTTTTTTTCATTTTTATACTTAGCTCAATACTTCAAATTTTGACATCTACAAATCGTACTGCCATAGCAAGTGTATCAGGGAATATCAAATTTAGATATACCAGTTGCTAACTTCATTGTCACAGCTTTCCACTGCAGCTCCAAACGCGTGCTTTATAAAATAAAAAAACATGCCTTATGACAAACAAAAGACAAATGAATTATATGGGAACTAAAAATTAGGCTAATAAAAGTTATATTTCCAAGGGTACTAAAAGTAAAAAATAACAATGGAACATATATCAGTTTAGACCTTTTGGGCCGGGGGTATGTGACTATATCTGCAAATGGTATTCTTTTTAGTATTACTTCTCCTCATCGGAGATGAGGGTTTGGAGTGGCTAAGAAGAGTTGATGAAAGCCAATGACTGAGCCTGCAGATAATAAGAATCTTTGTATTTCCTCCCGCTCCCAATGTGAATTCCGTTGCTCATCCAGTCCTCTCTATGAATCCACCCGTCTCGGGTGAAATCTAGTATCCCCAAAATCTACATCATTACCAATACCCATCCAAACATTATCAACCAAACATATACAGAATATTGAACTAACCTGAATGACCAAGTGAGAACATATTTTGTGACAGATGTACGAGTATATGTATAAACATATACAAAATTAAGTTAAACAATTAAGTTAAACATGTACGAGTATATTTTTAAAATTAATGCCTGGTCTAGAACCCCCGCTCAATCTTAGACAATTTGTTACGTTGCCTACATTTAGATCTAATTCTACTTTATGGCCCTCACCCTATGTAGCTTGGATGCAATTTAATCGGTTAATCCCCAGTGTACTTGACTAACAATAGCCCTCTTTAGCAGATCAAAATATCAACTACATAGAGTCTAAAATTGAGGACCAAAGTCAGAGTCAAATGCATAAATCAGAGTCGGTATGGATAGGTGTTCATTTTGATCTTTTTGTTTTTGTTTTGGATTTTTTTCGGACAGGGGTATGCCCCGTAGACTGTGTATTCTTTTTGGATGAGTTAAACATGTACATTATACCCGTAAAATTGAAGACCAAAGTCAGAATCAAATGCATAAATGGTACCTTAATTACTGGTAATGTTGCATGTTGGTATCTTAACTCTTAAATGAATCAAAACGGTACCTTAACTATACATAAATGTTTCGAATTAAGATTATATCCAAATTTCCAACCAAAAAATCCTTCATGACTATCAATATTTCATTTGTAGAGTCACCCTATAATAATCATACGGACAGAAATAAGGTGAAGTAAACTTTACGAATTATGGCCGCTACATGTGATTTTTAGGTCAGAAATTTGAATAGAATCTCAATTCGAAACATTTATGTATGGCTAAGGTATCGTTTTGATTCATTTAAGAGTTAAAGTACCAAAATGCAACATTTACCAATAGTTAAGGTACCATTTATGCATTTGACCCACCAAAGTCACTTGTAGAGATGGCAACGAGGCGGATCGGGGACGGTTTTACATATAATCGTACCCGCCCCGTTGAGTAATTCCCCGCCCCGTAACCGCCGCATTACCCAACAAGTAATTTTATCCAAACCATAACCACCCCATTGGGGAACGGGTATAACCACGCGTAATCACTTTATTAAATGGGCATTGATATTTTAATATAAAAATAATATTTTGAAAGACAAAAAATGGCATCACCTAGATGACTCTAGACTCATACGTCACTTTAAAGATTCTTATATCTATAAGACGAGAAAGAAGAAAACCTAAATTAATTTGAACCAAAAAAATACTTGTTATATAAAATAACTAATCACGATTTTTTTTATAATAATCAAACAAGACTATGAAGATCTATTATGAACTTTCAATTCATTCATATACTATAGTTAATACATCTACTTCTCATATATACACAATGAAAATAGAAAAATCTCATCTTTTAGTAATTGTGGAACAAATAATAGATAAAAATGTAATTAAAATATAGCCAAAACTAAATGGGGCGGGTACGGGGCGGGTAATGGGGCGGGCATGTATAAAACCATAACCGCCCGTTACCCGTAAAAACAAAACGGGTATTCCCCGCCCCGTACCCGTTACCCGGTCAATGCGGTTTTCTCCGTTTTGACCGGGGCAGTTCGGTGCGGGTATCCGTCAGATCGGTCACAATTGCTATCCCTAGTCACTTGTATAAAATCCAAGGACCAAATATGGGGTGAATGACCTTATACAACAAGATGCGCACT